GTGGGAGCATGTCACAATGGATTTTGTGACTCACTTGCCACGGACATCGTAGGGATATGACGAGGTGTGGGTGATTGTGGACTGGCTTACCAAGTCGACACATTTTTTGGCGGTGTGAATGACCTTCACACTAAAGGAATTCTTCAGGTTGTATATACGGGAGATTGTCCGGTTACACGGGGTACCCAAATCTATAGTATCGGATCAGAATCTCAGGTTTAAGACTCATTTTTGGGAGAGTTTCCAGCGAGCTATGGGGACACAGTTGATGATGAGCACTGCTTTTCATCCCCAGATAGTTGATTAGTCTGAGAGGACCATCTAGATGTTAGAGAACATGCTACGGGTATTTGTCCTAGATCTCAAGGGTAGCTAGGAAAAACATTTACCCTTGGTGGAGTTCGTCAACAACAATAGTTACTAGAAGAGTATACAGATGGCACCCTATGAGGCATTATATGTGGGCCATGTCAATCTCCAATTTGTTGGATGGAGGTGGGAGAAAGACCCTCTATGGGTCCAAACTTGGTTAGAGACACTTCGGAGAAGGTGAACTTGATATGGAAGCGTCTTCTCATGACTCAAAGTCGAAAGAAAAGCTACGTCGAAAGGCGGCGAAGGCCTCTAGAGTTTGAGGTAAGAGATCATGTTTTCTTGAAGGTGATGCCAAAGAGAGGAGTGGTCAAGTTCGGCAAGTAGGAAAATCTGTCGCCAAGGTATATCGAGCCCTTCGAGGTACTCGAGAGGGTTGGTACAGGGCTTACACATTGGCATTACTGCCAAATCTATCAGGTGTTCATGCAGTATTCCATGTCTCCATGCTTTGGAAATACACCCAGGATCTGACTCATATAGTGGGTTGGAGCGAGCTTGTTATTGATGTTGATGGGACCTTCGAGGAGGGACCGATGTGCATCATGGATAGCTGAGATCAGGTTTTGCGAGGCAAGACCGTGAGGCTAGTAAAGGTGTTGTGGCAACACCGAGGAGTGGAGGAGGCAACATGGGAGCGTGAGGACACTATACGTACCAATTATCCTTTCTTATTTGAGGATGGAGGTACATTCTTATAGTCATTTAGTATATATATGATTGTTACATATGCATGTGATTAAATGTGTAGGTATGAGTGAATTTCGGGGACGAAAATCTTTTAAGGGGGGAAGAATGTAAAACCCGAGTAAATTTAAACTTTTACGAAAAAGGGCAAAATGGTAATTTGATACTATAACGCGGGTTTAAAATTAATATTTTTCTAGAGCTCAGATGATGCAATGGACCTCACCATTGAATTCGTATCACGAAATCAGACTGCCATGTCAAATTTCGTCGAATTTCGAGATAGTCAAATTTTACATATTTTACGAGACAACTGGGTGACGAATGACCTCGTGAATGCCCCCAAAAATAAAAATTATAAAATTTTATTATAACTAGATAAAAGTTCAAATAAAATTAAGTCGAACTAAAACTAGAAATTAATTAAGCCGTTTTGGGTTAAAAACGGATCCGCAAGTAATAAATGTGCAGGGCAATGTGGACCGCTCAATTAGAAAGTATAAATAGGGGCTAAATATCTGAAAAATCAGATATTCTCACCCACTTGGCTGGCTAAATCAGACATTGAAGAGAGGAAAGAGAGAGAAGAAAGAAAACCTAGAAATTCTACCCTTATTCTTGTGATCCAAGGAGTTTCGTCGATCAGAATTCATTGAACCAAGAATTAAAGTTAGTCTACGCAACGAGGACTACACGTACGTGCCAAGAATGAAGGATTTTATCGAAGATCCAAAGAGGAGATTTTGTGAAATTAAGAGTTTTGGGGCTTGGAAGGGTTCTTGAGTTTCCCCACACTTCATCTCACACTCTAAGAGGTAGGGTTTCCTTCTACTTTGGACTACTTCTATCCTATGATGTTCATATGGAAAGGGGGGCGGGTATGTAGAATATGTATACCACTTGTTTATTGTTACAAAAATGAGGGAAAGGGTGTAGAAATGGCTTAGGCCAACTTCTAGCTTGGATTTGATATGTGGGAGTCAATAGTGTAATCCCTTAAAATTGGTTTATGTGGGCATGTTACATGTTTATACTATGTCTTGTGATTAAGTGTGATTGGCATGAGATTGTGTAATGCCATACTAGAGAATCGTGTTGGATATAAATGTTGATATATGCCAGTTGATGTATCGACATAATAATGAATTTTGGTGATTATATGCATGTGATATAGATTGTCATGGAACATGTGGACATGTGGTTAAATGGTTCATTTGGCTTTTATTACATTTTGGGCATGATATGCATTACATTCATGGGCTTAGGCATGAGTCTGGGTGTGTGTGGGTATAGTTGATTCAAACATCATATATGGTGGTTGAAGGTGGGCTCGGGAAAGTGGGATTGAAAATTTCACTGAGTTGCACGGTTGCATGTATGAAAAACTTGTGTCGGGTATAGCAACAAGTGCTAGACACTCCCTCGAGTGAAAGGCCCAACTATTTGGTTCATACACTCCCCTGATGTGAAATTCTGAAAAAGTGTGTAATGGCGTACGGAGCCAGCGGTGTAATTCCAAAATCCGATACCCAGCAAAGACACATGGTTTTGGTTTATATAAATGATTCATTTGATAGGAAACATCCAACAATGAATGAGTTTTATGAAAGTATGATTGAATTTCAAAATGCTTTTTGGATGTATTTCACCAAGGACAAATGTTTTACGCATATGCATTGCATTGTGTTGTGGGAGTTGGTGAGGACTCAGGATAAGGTGCATGAGTGAGTCTCTTCTCATTTCATGGCATGACATTATGATTTTTCAACATTGAATTACATGTTCTTGTTGAAATGGATATTGGTTTTCATTAGTTACATGTGCACATTTCATATGCATCTAGGAGGGGAGTAGCCTCTGTAGGAAATATTCTACTGGGCGTTGGCTTACCCTATACGGGAATACATTTCAGGTGCGGGATTTGTACTAGCAGAGGACTCGCATTCGGGGCTTCAACGATGAAGAAAAGTCAGGTTGTGGCTTTTGAAAACAAGTCTTTCAAAAAACTTTTGTTAAAACTACGTTTTGGTATGAAAATATATATAAATTGTTGAAATGGACTTGTATAAATGAGGTTTTATGTAGAAACTCCATTTATTCATGTTTTGGATGAAATTTGAGGTGATTTGGATTGGATTGGAAGTGAAAAACACAGGAAATGGCAAAACTGGGCAGGGAGTACCGGTATAGTCTGGTACTCTTTCCATAACTTATAAAAAAAAAAAAAAATTTGGAAGGCAGATAATACCGGTACAGTCCAGACGGTACCGGTACTGTCACGGCTAATGAACAAACAGTACCGGTATTGTCTTCAAAATTTTGAAATTTTAACACTAAAGTGCCATATTTTTGGACTTTATTTTCCTTGGTCCCAATGATACAAATGAGCATTACATGAGGTATATTGGACCTTCGTTGAATTAAATGATTAAAAGAACACGGGTTACATGTGAGTTAAAATTCTAGATAATGATATAATATTAGTGTGATGTCAAATCAAGTGACACTCATGGGTCTTTTCGCGGGTTGACGGGTCGTCCATGAGACCCCCGGTTTATGGGGCGTCACACCCCTCCCATTGGTTACAAACCCAACCTACAGGTTAACAAGAGATCAGCTCATTTCTCGTTGCTTCACTGTCATCCAAGCTTTACTGAGCTCGCCCACAAGGGATTGTTGCACAGAGGCAACGAAGAAGACACAGATCCAAGCATCTTCAAATATTCTTCTCTTTGTCTTAACGATATGATTTTTTTTTTGAATATTGTTTATCTATTGAACCCCAAGCCCCAACTCATCTGATATTGTTCATTTGTTGAACCCCAAGAACCCATTGCTAAAAACGGTGTTGTTGGTATGAGTGAGAAGTCCAAAGGTTTTTCGGTGAACAATAATAAAGAGATGGATTTGTTGGGTGATGAGAGAGAAATTGGATTTATTGATGTAAAAGAGGAAAAATATGAAGGGTTTTGGGGGTGAGGGAATCAGCTCGAAAGGCTCGGCAAGAAATGGAGATTTGTGGAGAATGGTGGAGTACCACTAGGCTCAGCTCGAAAGGGTTGGCAAAAATATGAAGGGATTTGTTGCTCTAAGCTGAGGAAGATGAGAAGGCATGGAAAAAACTAGAAAAAGAAAGTGAATGTGGAGAATGGTGGTATGCTGGGCAGTGAGGAGGCAGATGGAAAATGAGGGAAATTTGGTTGAGGGAAGTAAAGAAGAATTACTCATAAAAAAAAAAGGAGAATTTAATTGTTTAGATTTAATATACATGTTCTACCTTTATATCAATTATTCACTTTGCTATTAAAAAAAATATCAATATTTTAATGTATATATGTTATTTTGTATATGTGAAAAATATTTAATTTAGTTAGAATAAGTCACCAGTCCAAACATAGGATATGATTAGATTGTATTGAATAGAGTAATGGGTATAATGGTAAATTATTACAAAATATTTAGTATAATTTATGGGGCCCACATAAATATATATTTGTTTCCTAAACAAAAGTTTGGATCGGATGATATCCCTAACCTTGGATTGCAAGTGGATAAACAAGTTTGAATTGGATGACTTATGATATAAAAAAAGATATCCTACCGTATCCAGTCCAGCTACCCAAACACATTTTCGTGTGTGACCAATTCTAAATCTCTTTTACTCATCGTAGGCAGTTAAACAGCTCTTTTCAATATTGCCTCCCTCGTGTTAATATATATATATATTTTAAGAATATATTGCCTCTCTCTCTACTCTCTATTTCTGATTCGGATCTGAGTCTTTTCAATTGGTTATTTTCTGTACTCTGTCGAATCTGTCTTGAAATTCCCTTTTCTTATCTGAGTCTTCCTGAGCACTTGCACCGTAAGAGCTCCATTTTCTCTTTAACTATTCTTGAAGCATATATGGGCTTCTTGTGGGGTTTGGAGCGTTGTTGGTGATGTCTTACAGTAAATACTCAGAGGAAGAACCAACTAGTTGTTGCTCAAAAGCTTCAGCTGAGTTGAAGCTCTACCAAGCTTTCATCTTTTCAGTACCAATCTTCTTTACTTTCATCCTTCTCTTATTGTTTTATTTGTTCTATCTTCGCCGTCGAAGTGTTGATTGGTCGTCACTGCGAATGAGGATCTCCTTGCAGACCCCGAATGAGATCTCCACAGTAAGTACATTGGTTTGTTTTTATTTTTGGGTGTTTTCAACAGAAAATTACACTTAGATCCTCTAAATTTTGAAAATTACACTTACTCTTTGTATGTTTCTCATTTTGTGTCTTAAATAATATGATTTTGTCACCCAACACATTCATTTTTTCTCAAAAGATAACTCTCGTTTGAAACAATTTTTTTGAAATGACACAAAAAATTTATTAAAAAATATATAGGATGCAGTACAAAGCTACCGACGCACAAGTCGTCCATCTAAAAATGCTAAACCATAAAAGAGCACTAAATAAAAGTAAAAAAAAAAAAATAGTAAATATACCCGTCATAAACAACAGTCCAAAAAATAATGTTATTGGGAGATAATTTAAAAATATAATTTGAAGATTTAATGATTTTAATCATTAGATTATCGATAGATCTAACATTAAATTGTCACTTGATCTCAACAGGATCAATACAATTGTCATAATGTATTAAGTCCCCAAATTATATCTATAAATAATATCCCAATAGCACGATTGAATTTCAAAAAGAGGCCTAGTTGCATATTCATTGGAGGCCGATGCTGAAAGCGATGCAAAGAGGGAAACACCTCAACCACCTCATACTTATTCTCAAAAGATATTGCATTTTTCTCCAACCAAATTACTTGAGCAGTGATAAATAGTGCACATTTCTGAATAGCAACAACTTTGCTCTTCCTACCAAAGTTTTTAAAATGCACATGAAACTTTGTTGACATAGAACTTGGAATCAGCCAAGAATTCCCGCTTTCACGGACAATTTATTCAATAGAGGCAATGTTATTGGGCTGTGTAAAAATAAATTGCTCAAACTCTCACAATCCTCTTATGCATCCGTCACCATTGTATTTGTGGCAGAGATATGTTTGAGGTCTTTTTTTTTTTAAAAAAAAACAAGTCATTGGGTCGATCTTTCCATGAGTAATAATTCATGCGTAAACTTGCATTTTCAAAAACACCTTAGCCATCCAAATAACTTGGTCCATGAACCCATTAACTTTTTTGGTGATTGTGGCTTAGCGGTGTGAATTGGGCCTGAAGAAAGAACTCAGAGAGATGCTACCCATTATTGTTTTCAAGGAGAGCTTTTCTGTCAGAGATACGCAGTAAGTGTGCTTTCTTGATCTATGTTACTTGCTTCTCCTTGCGATTCTATTTTAACTAGTTCTGTCTTGTATATCTTCGCATAGTTCTATATTTATTGAGTTGATTATGATGACACGATGCTAGAAAAAGCCTCAATTGTTCTCATCCTTTTCTTTATTATATTTTTTGGACTTACAATTGAATTTTTTTTCAGTATCTTGGTTAAAATGGGTTGACCAAGGGACATTTTCTTTTTCTCTAATGGATGAAATTCTTGCTTGGCAGAGAAATCTGATATTGGATAATTGTTGATAGAAAGAAGGGCAGGGGAAATAATGAGATGCTTTGTGCGTAACTAGTTAGTCACAGCACCACCGAGTGGGATGGTCCAATGACATATTGGTTGAACTTCTCTTCTTAAAGTTAAAGATTTGAGTCTTAGAGTCCATATTGGGACTTGGTGGTTGACAGTTATATTTGTCTTATTAGGTTTGTTCCCGATAAGACTAATAGACGGTTAGAGACCTCATGATCTCGCCAGTGATGCCTATCAAAGTGTCCCCACTTCTTTTTAAAAAAAAAAAAACTAGCCCCGGCCCATCCCCTATCCGATTGTGATAATACAGACAAGTGGGCATTAAATCCCCATTACAACCAGTCCAGTTTTTTTTTGTAATGTGTATAATAAGTTAGTGGGTTCAGTATATTGTTCTAAAATTCAAATGATCACTCATATTGGTGGGACTGGTTATAAAACTTGGAGGAATTTTATTGATACAACATTAGGCAATACTCGATAGGAATTAGGAAGAGTGATATTATAGATTGGCACCAGGAATTAGGGAATATTAATTATATTCCCTTCGTTCTTAAATATCTGTCATTTAAGGTTTTTATACAGGGATTAAGGAAGCTATTAAATAGTTTTAATATGAGTAAAAAATAATTGCATAAGACTAAAATACCCTTATTCAATACGTATTGGAAAGGAAAGGAATATGAAAGGTACTTAGCCTCCACCTAATTTAATATATTGGAAAGGTAAGAGTAAATTTGGAAGAAAAAATATTAATTATACTTTGGTTTCATAAAACAACAGATATTATGGAACAAAAAAAATTGTGTAAAACGATAAATATTTAGGAACGAAGGGAGTAATGATAAAAATATGCGCTCATCGAGAGCATTTGGTCAAATTGAGACTTCAAGTTTTGCTTTTTCGTTTTCCATTTCTTAGTTTAACATCTATGAAGCATCAATACTTTATCAAGGTCGATGTATTTATATCGGATGTGATACTCGTTAGATAATCAGTGATATGTATCGAATATAGATTATACATATTTGGTAATTAATAAAATATGTGAATATTTTGTGGATAATTTTATACATAGAGCAAGATATGTAATTTTTAATTTTAATCTATATCTTCTCCTTTTGAGTTCACAAATAATAAAATACATCAACAAAATTTTATTTAAATTTTAAGATACAAGTGTTTTTTAAGTATTATTTACTATTATATGTCAAAAAAAAATATTTATAAACAAACTAACTAGTTAGATATTGATTCCTTTAATTGGTCGCATTCATTTTATGGGAATATATTATAATGAAACGATATTATACATTTTTCAAGATAAAAATTCTTAATTTTGCTTACTATTGTTAAATAATTACTAAAAATTATAATTTTTAAATGGTTAAATAATAGTAAAATATAAAATATATTTTATTATAAAAGTATTCTAGTCATACTCGTATTCAATTTTTTCAAGTTTTATCATATTGCTGTATTCGTTTCGTATTTTATTCGTATCTCATATTTATACTCGTATGTTCTAGCTCAACACAAAACACCTCATTTGGGACATTCATAAATGTCTTGTTTTCTCTAAAAAACTCTGTTTAATTTGAGTTATTTCGGTACCATATCACTTCACATTTTAGGCTTTTTATATCATTTTTTTCTTGTAATTTCTTAACTATCGGCGTACAACCACTTTTTTGGTTCACTTCCTATTTTTTAGGCTTACATGTTATATTTGGGGCTTATTTTTTAGTTTTCAGTATAAGTAAAGTACAGAAAAGTACAAATTGGATATCATAGAGTTTCCCCTCTTAAACAATTCATCAAAATTGCTTCTTTTTTAGTACAGTCTCAGCTAAAGGTTGTTCTATGTTTGCTAATTTCAAGCACACGCTGAGCTGGCTTTTCTATTTGGGGAAAAAAGAAGATGATGATAATTCCATGGGTTGCAAGTTAGGTGGTCAATAAATACGAAAGGCTAAAAGAGACATAAATCATGATGCATGTATATGGGTCTTTTAAGTGTATATTTCACTTTTTGGGCGTTACATCATATTGAATGATAAAGATCTAACTATGGTATTAGAGAATTATTTTTGGGTATAATACCCCCATTTTTCGTCCAATAGAATTGACACAAATGTAAATTTTTTGTATTTTTAATTTTATTTACCATTTTCTGTCAATGGTTAAAAATCATCCAAATTAAAATTGCCAGCTGCAGATCTGTTTCGATACAGTTCCGTGAATCTGTAGCCAATATAATCAACATCAACTGTTAATTGCAAAGTTCGGGCCCAAAAAGGGGAGAAAATGGTTTTTTTTATTTTGGAAGGTCAAAAAAGTTAATTGCTAGCTGGTTCAAAATTGATGACAATGGGGGTGTGATTGGTTGAGATTAAACCTGCCACGTTTTGATAAGCTACCATTGTTGAAAAAATGTTCTTATTTGTGTCATTGTAGTAGGAGTGAGTGAATCACTTCCTATTCTTTTGGATAGTTGAGTTTCCCATTACAGTGATATAATGTGCTACTATGACAAAAGGAGCATATGCAAAGCACTTTTATGGAATGATATACTATGACAAAATTAACAAGGGTAAACTGGATTGCATGAATGATGCTTTGAAAATCCAACTTTTTTTTCGGGCAATGAAAATCAGAGGTACTCTCTTTATTGTTGCAGATGCTCAGTATGCCTAGGGGATTACCAAGCAAATGATAAGCTTCAACAGATACCTGCTTGTGGGCATACATTTCACATGGACTG